ATTCAACCTTTGTTCATAGAATAGAAAATAAAATACAAGCAATGTGTAAAGGCTTCTTCTTCTTGGTGCTGCTAAGAACATATATAGCTAAATATTAAACAATGTAAACCGACTTTGTGTCAAAAGAATAATAATCAAAATCGAATGATAAGTGGAATTAAAGAGGAGGAAAAGCTTTATAGAGCTATGAGTAGATATCCAACCAACTATTATAATAAAAAGGCCCTATCGATTTCAGTTTGATCGGAGTAGCAAGTTGAATTTTGTAACAATTTTAAAATAATAAGGATATTCATAATCCTAATATTAAAGAAAATCATTAAACTTCTTAAATATATTTAAAATCCATCATAAATTTTCAACCTTGTTCATTAGACCAATCGAACGGCATATATGTAATTGCCGTCCACCAAACGATCCAACCAAACGCATTTCCGCCCGCTATTATTTGGGAGTGAAAAGTGTGTCAATATTGGCATCGCACTGTTCACACACACTACTTTTTCTGTGTTCGGGATTTTCCGAAAAAGTGCGCGAAAGAGGAGAAAGATGGTTGCCTTTGACAGCGCAATGAAGAAGATGGCGAAATGGAGTTCAATTGGAGACGAATTGCATTAATTGGAAGTTTAACTGTATTTTGGAGTGGAAAGTGGATTTTTCGGTTGGAGATGCCCTTATACAAATAAAAATAAAATAAAAATTAGCATATAATTGAGCGGATGAAAGTTTCTCAAAAATAACAATCAAAATGGAGTGATCAAAAGAAAGAGAACGAAATACTTTTTAGAAGAAGGATGGACAGATATCCAACCAACTATTATTATAAAATATCCTATCAATTATAATCTGATCGGAGTAACAATTTGATTGTTAGAACAAATTTAAGATAATAAGGAAAACCATAGACCTCAACTGTGTTTGACCCCTACAATTAAGATGTTTCCACATCCACTTATTTTGACAACAAGCTAATAGATGAATCATAAAATTTTTTTTTTCCTATTTTTGGTTATGGAATATTATTTATTAAATCACAAGATAACTGATGTACTGCAAAAGGGTAAACATTTAACTAAATTAGCCATGCTCAATATTGTTTTGACTATAATATTATTGAAATAAGAGTCCACATAGTCTTGACATGAATTTTTAAAAATTTTAGCCATGTTTTTTAAATGCAGATTTGAGATTAAATTCTTGTAAATATTTCATGATGTTTTTAAAATTGTAAAAAAATATTATTTCAATTTAATATTTTATCTTCTGAACAATTATAAATAATTTATTTTAAAAAGCATATATCATGAGTTAAAATAATTCTTAAATAAAAATATGAGAGGCTATCCACACAATTCTTCATCAGTGAGTATAAATGTGTGTGAACTCAAATAAAATAACTTCAGAGAAGTACGTAAAAGTCTAGTCTAGAATTCAAAACCTCAGACGCCACTGCCGATGATACTTCCTCTCTTCAAAACCCTCATTGCTTCACTGTACCTGTGCAACAACCAACAAATTTTCAAGCAGAAAAATGAGATCCTACCACTAACCCCAACAGAGTCTCAAGCCGAAGCTGGGCATCTGGATGCTTTTATGGAGACAAAGCATGAGGGGCAGATCAATCGACGATGATTGCTAGGACATGGATGAAGCGCTAGTAAATAAGAAAGCTTCCAAGTCGCTAGAAAAAATTCCAAGCTTCCACTTCGTATTTTATAATATGAATTGAGCAAGCTCTCAGCTAAGCCCGAAACTGGCGAGTTAAATTCCCAAACCGAAATGGTATTAATTGCTATTAATGATCATTAGTAGCTTTAACTATGTTAAATAAATTTTAAAAACTGACGGAAACTTAGTTTGAATACTGAAACGGAGGGAAACTCAAGCGATTATAATACAATGAATAAAATGATTTTAAAAAAATGATTTAGTAATGATTAAAAATAAAATAAAATAAAATGAATGACCAATATTTGCTATGGGTGGAAACTCAAGCCCCTAGTATAGATTATAAATTATAATACAATGAATGGACAAGATAATTTTAAAAAAATAAAATGAATGACCAAGATTTGCTATGGGTGGAAACTCAAGCCCCTTTTATAATAGTAGTATAGATATAGATAGTATAGATTTGAAACATAAAACTATTTAAATTTAGGTGGAATATGAAGCGGGTTTTTGAGAAGTAATTAATTTAGGTGGAATATGAAGGGGATTTGAAGAATAATAAAAATTATATTAATTGAGATAGTAAATTTAAGAAGTAATTAATAAGAAGTAATTAATTTATGAGGTAAATGCAACGGATAGTAATTATTATATATTTTGATATTTAATGTGAATTTTTTTGATTTATTTAATATTTTTAATAGAATGGACGGTCAAGATAATTAAAAAATAAATAGAATGGATGAACAAGATTCGCCGGAGGAAGGAAACTCAAGCCCCTTTTATAATAGTAGTATAGATTTATTTTTTAACCCACCAAATACTAAAAAATTAAAAAATAATATATTTATTTTATTTTACATTCATTTTTCTTTTAACTAAACAGCCCAAAGACAAGAGAATACCGGGCAATGCGTAATGACTTCTTTTTCTTAGCGCTGCTTCTCACGAAATTGCAGTTGAGCAACGCCTCCTAACTCCAGAACCGCACGTACAGCTTCATCAGGTCATTCAAAGATCCACACGTGTCCTTTCTTCTCCGGATGAGATCACCAAACGAAACGGACGGCTCTCCGGCATCCAATGACCGTTGGATGTCAATTCTTACGACCCTTATTTTATCATATTTCCTCTATTGGAATGTTCCAGAACTCTGGCCAACTGCTCCCTTACAGGACTAATAACCCTTCATATGTAGCTTTCTTCACAAGCCACGACTCTCTCTCTCTCTCTCTCTCTCCTCATAGTGTTATCATCAGCATATATTTAAAAAAAATATCATAATTAGTTAGCGGCATCAAATATTATATGAATGACTTGAAATAAATTTTATAATTGAATCATCATTCTCTTTGCATAGTGATGGTGCCTCTAACCTTCATTAATTATTTTTATTTTTTTATAGTTAATAGATGTCATCATCTTTCTATAAATATTGGGCGTTTGTTAGAGGTAATTGATTTGATTTAAAATATAATAATTTTATTAAAAAAGTACCATTAATTCAAATCTATATTTTGATAATATTTTTAAAATATAGAAGGATTATTTTAATATTAAGGGATTTAGCTAATTAGCAATTAGCACTCAATATCATAGGATTTATATATATTTAACACATTAAATTCGCTATTTACACATAGCACTAAAATTTTTAATAAACATAAAATAATGGTGGTTTAAGTCTTAGATTTATCAGGTTTGAGCTTTGGGTGGATCTAGAGGTGTCAATTTTGGGTCATGGGTCGGGTTCAAATTGAACCTAGAATTGACCCTGCACTATTAGGGTCAACCTGAACCAGACCCATTTTTACAAACGGGTCAGTTTTTCAGACCCGAACCCGACCCGGTTCTAGTTTGGGTCAACCCGACACGAACTGAATGATCCGAGTTCGACTAAAAATAAGTAGTTTCCTGGTCAAAAAATAGGTCAATCTCCTATTTTTGGGTAAAAAAATGGGTCAATCTCAGATTTCTTGGTCAAAAATAGATCAAAATGGATCAATTTCGGGTTACTGGGTCAACCTGAACCCAGTCTGATTTTTGAAACTGGTCGATTTGCTGAACCTGAACCCGACTCTTTTCAGGTCCGGGTTGACCCTAACTCGAAATTTTCTGGTCTGATTTTTTGGTTGTGTCAAATATTGACACCCCTAGATGGATCCACAAGCATAGGCAGATCCACATTGGCCTAAGGGTGGGCAAATGCCCACCCTCAAATTTTTTTAAAAAAATATTTAGAGGGAATTTTTTAGAATATTTGGGGTATTTTGCACATTTTGCCCCCTCTAAAATAATTTTTTTGTCCTAATTTTATCAATCCTAAGCATCTTTGTCCATCCCTCAAAAAAAAAATTTTTTTTTGCCCACCCTAAAAAAAGGAGCTGGATCTGCCCCTGTCCACAAGTCAAATGAATATGTTCTTCTTTGTTACGCTTTTGAAGTTTTCACCAACAAACTTCTATCACGAATTCTTCTTCAAAAATCACTAATCTCACCAATATGTTCAACAATGAGCTATATTCTTTTGCCATCAATGATTTATTTGTAAGAACATAAGAGAGAGAGAGAGAATCAATCGATAAATAAAGAGTGACTGGTGAGTTCTATGTATGTAAATTGTAAATCTTTTAAATATTATATTAATAAAAAAATTAATAATAATAAAAATATTAATAAGCATCAACTAATTAAATTATTCCATTTTGCTAACATGACTATGATATATCCATAATCCATCTTTGGTTAGCCATGCCTTCACATACACTCTAGGCAACGACAAATTATTACGTTCGGTGTCCGGATTTGTCCAGACATCAATCCAGACGAGCCAGTCACTCAAATACAACGGGGTCTAGTGTATTCCGGTGACGTGACGCGACACTCTAGGCAACGACAAATTATTACGTTCGGTGTCCGGATTTGTCCAGACATCAATCCAGACGAGCCAGTCACTCAAATACAGCGGGGTCTAGTGTATTCGGGTGACGTGACGCGTTTGGATTGGATGTCCAGACGTCCGGTGACCGGACATAATAACTCGCCCTAGGCAACCCCCTCCCTCTCTCTCTATCTCCACCCTTAGAGAGAGAAGGTAGAAAGAGGAGAGAGAAAGACGTGGGGGCAAGAAAATTACCAAGTGTTAACATGGTACCAACTACTTGGACCAATAGCAAGGCCAACCTTGAGGGCCAAGTAATGTATTAATTTTATTCCTAAAATGATAACTAAGCTCATTTCTCTCCCTTTCTCTCTCCAATTCATTCCTTTCCCTATAATTTAATTAGCTCGTCTTTATCTTTTTCTACTTTCTGCGCTTTCGTATGGAAGTATGTTAGACATTCTCAAAACCTTCTTCTACCTATTGCTGATCTTCGATCTCCTCCTTGGACAGCTGTGAGAAAACAAAAGTAGAGAAGAAGGATTATATTCCTTTACAAAGCTCTAGAAGAAGTATTAAAAGTGCAGAAGAGAGAGAAAGCCGAGCTCTTTCTTCTTTTCTTTTTGTTTTTTTGTTCTCTTTTTAGAGAGAAGGTAAGGATCACAAGAATTAGAGCTTGAGAAAGGCTCCACAGTCCCCTGTAGGCTACTGCTAGCTGGTTCATTACAATTTGTGACAGTGAAGAAGATGACATGGAGTAGTAGCTGCGAGGAAGACGACGGTGATGAAGATCATGACCGTCGCTTTAAAGACCCCTCCATGCCTCTGTCAGCGATGATCTGCCCATCGTGTGGCCAGAAGATCCAAGTTGATAACCAGGTCTCTCTCTCTCTCTCTATATCTCTCTAAGAAAAAAGTGCTTAGGATAACGAATTACTCAGCATCATGCATATTAAACTGAGAGAGTGTTCTTCGATCTATGGAAGATTTCTACATAAAATTTAAAATTGAAAGAAGGCTTGAAATTTGAGAAGAAACGTTAAGCATACTGAAATATTAAGCCGAAAATCTGCTAAAAAATATTGGAAGAAAGGTTTTTTTCTTATAATTTGCTGTATATAATATGAATGCCTGATCTATAATTTAGAATTTTTTTGGTAGAAATTATGATAACGACTTTGTTTTTTTGCCCTATATAGATGAAAAGATGGTGAGCTGATTCGTCGTACTTTTATGAAATTATGATATTAATAAAGCGTAAATGTTTTGTCTTCATCCATCAGTGATTAATTGAATTAAGTTTTCTAGCAATAATTCATATTCTTATTTTAAATTTTTGTATATTGAGTTTTCATCATTGCATAATTTATGTTAGGTATAAAGTAAATATAAACATATTTTTTAAATATAATTAAATTATAATACTTATTATTATAATATGTAAATATAAACATATTTTTTTAAATATAATTAAATTATAATACTTATTATTATAATATATTTTTAAAGTTGAAAAATTATTTTGCATTATTATTTTTTAAATTCATTATGATTCTAGCTTTATTTTAATAATCAAATCATTATTATTAGTTATATCTTATTGGGGAAGAAAAAACAATGCAACGAACACAAATAAGAAAAAGAAAATACAATTGAAAAGAAAAAAAAAGGATTTAACGTAAAAAAATTCGAAACCGAGAAAAACAACAAAGCAACATATAGCACACCCAAAAATCCTATATGAAAAATAAAAGTTGTATAGATCTTTCTCTCTTTCATTCTCATTATCTCTCTTCACACTTGCACCATTCTCTTGACATAATAGATAAATAGACGTATATAAATCACTCCAAAGGACGCAACCCTTAAAGTTAAATATAAAATACGAGAAAGAAAACTACCCAGTCTGACTAGTAGTGTTGATGCGCTATGTTTGGAGCATTGTAGCACTCCACTCTGTCTCCAGTCTAATTGGCATCGCCATAGTACCAGGGTTTGAAGTTTCGCGACACTTTGCTCTCTGTCAATCTCCAACCAGACTATACAACACTGCATCGCTCGGGTACACAACGTTGCTATGCTATATGGTTGAACGAAAATAAAAATTTTGGGGGGCAAAGCACCTTAATCCAAGCAAGGAGATAATTGAATTGAGATCCGATGCAACAACACAACTTAATTGATCGTCAAAATCAAATTTGACAGAGAACCGACATATCTAACTTTATTTGGTGCTACTTTAATGAATATTTATATTTTATTTATTTATGTGAAGTATTAGATTTGACTTATGTTAAGAAAGGTAGAGATAGACTTAAAAAGACTTGGTTAAAAAAAATATTAGAAATGATCTTTTTTATTAGATTTAAATGAGACTTTTAACATGACACAATGACGAAAAAGGATTCATGCAGCCGACTCCACGTAGTGGGACAAAGGCTTGATGTTGTTGTTGTTGTATGTGAAGTATTATCTTTATTCATAAAAATCTAATAGACATCAACTCATATTATGTCACGTAGCCTCTTTCCACATATTTTAAACACTCCAATAATAACAAGACAATGAACTACAAATCTAAAATTTTGCATGCTTTTAGATCTGTGCCAAGCTGTTACGTGGCATTACATAAATTGTTGTTTATAGGATTTTGTACAAATAATAAAGTTTATAATTAATTAAATGCATGTGAGAAAATCAAAATTTATCAAAATAAGAAAAAAAGGTTGAAAATTTAAATTAATATTTCATGTATAAATCAGGCAAGCAGTGGAATTCAAAATTTTCCTGAGCTGCCAGCTGGAGTGAAGTTCGATCCAACGGACCAGGAGCTTCTTGAGCATTTGGAGGGGAAGGTGAGACCTGACTTACAGAAATTGCATCCCCTTATTGATAAGTTTATTCCTACTATTGAAGGAGATAATGGGATCTGCTACACTCACCCTGAGAAACTTCCAGGTAATTCATATACAAATTTTTCACTTGCTGTAGGGTTTATTTGAGATAGTTTTTTCATTGTTTTGATTTTTAGATAATAATTCATAATTTCATTTAGGCTTCGTTTGAGATGGCTTTTTTACTGTTTCTTAAAATAGCATTTTAGTACAAAAATTTAAATTTTTATACTAAAAAACTGGTAAAGAAGCAGTAAAAAAGTAATCCCAAACGAAACCTTAGCCTTCGTTTGGAACGGCTTTCTAATTATGACTTCTTAAAGCAGATTTTTAGTACAAAAATTAACCAAACGAAGCCTTAGTTATTATTTTCTTGCTGTTTTTCAGAAATTTTTGTGGTGGAAAAGTTATTTTTTGCAATCAAAATAGTTGTTATTTCCTGCATAACTTTACAATTAAAACTTCATTTGGGACGGCTTTTTTACGCTTCTTAAAGTAGCAATAAGAAAGCCGTCCCAAATGAAACATAACTTTATAAAATATTACAATCGTCCTAAATAGACCCTTACTCGTCATCATTGATAATGCTTTGCCATTTATTTGATAGCTTTAAACATATCATTTAACTAATGTAAAGTTTATCATTTTCTAATTATTCTCATATCATATAGTAAAGTTTATCATTTTCTAATTACGAGTTTGTTTGAGGCAGCTTTCTTGCTATCATTGAAAAATAATCTTATGCATCATGAAAAAAGAAATCATATTGATGTTCTTTTTTACTACATAGATTACAAATCAAGAAGAAGAATATTCAAACTGAATTTGCAAAAACTAGCTAAGAGATTTTAAGTAGCATATTTATTTACTAAGAAGCTTGATATGATAGATCTTGACATGATCAATAGAGCAATTAGTAGGCGGATGTAGAATTTAGTAAAAATCTAGAACTCTCTATATACTAGTCTAACTAGACCTTATCTCACTATTTTGAATTGAACAAGCCAAATGCAAAAGCAAATAGTTCAATGTAAACTTGAATGTATCTTCCTCTATTCTCCACATAAATTCTATCGACTCTATTATTGAAAATATAAAAATCCAACATTTTTTTTAAAGTTAATCTTAAAATCATGGGATTAAAAAAAACTCACTTGTTATTTATTTATTTTTTCCTTTGAAAAAGATCCAATCTAATATAAAATTGTTCTTATTTTGTTGTCTTATATAATAGGAGTAACTAAGGATGGACTTATTCGCCACTTCTTCCACAGGCCTTCCAAAGCCTACACAACTGGCAATAGAAAACGAAGAAAAGTAAACACAAATGAACAAGGAGGTGAGACTCGCTGGCACAAAACAGGCAAAACAAGACCAATCTATGCAAATAACAAAGTGAAGGGCCACAAGAAAATATTAGTTCTCTACACGAACTATGGCAAGCTAAAAAAGCCTGAAAAAACAAATTGGGTAATGCATCAATACCATTTGGGTTCTGATGAAGAAGAGAAAGATGGAGAACTTGTTGTATCAAAGATATTCTATCAGACTCAACCTAGACAGTGCAACTCAACAGCGTTGAAAGATGATTTCAAGGACGAAAAAGTTATAGATTGCTATAATTCATCTCTTATATCTTATGACAATAGAGAGCATCATAGAGCTGAAGGCTCCTCTCATTTGATGCATAACTTTGGGTCTCCATTTCTGCATTGAGAGGGTTTTTTTATAAGAATATACACAAGAATAGAAGAAGAAATACATATATCTTTATATACTAACAAAGTTTTTTTTTTTTTCATTATTCTCAACTAACTATGTGTTGTATATGTGAAAATAAATTTGCTTGGAATTTTGGCTGGTTGTAAATGAGAGGATAAAACAATGTTCATCTGCTTGTGTGATATTAAAGGAAGAATTTTGAGTGTATCATCTTCTTGCTAGAGTCATTAGTTGCTCTTTCTTTATTTCTTCCCAAAGGTTAAAAAAAAGATTTTAAATAGTATGTATTCAATGCATGAACTCTTATTAATTCCAATAATTTATAGGCATCAATGTATTAGAAAAATTAAATATTTTGTGTACAATATAATATATAATATCTATTTTATATAATATAAGACAAAATTTTATTAAAAAATGAACAATATGTATAAGAATGAAAAAGAAAATTAAATAAGCATTATCATATAAATACTTGACTGGCACAATACATTAAATGATTTGACACTTTATAGATGTTCTTAAATTCCTTATAAATTTTCATATTTATCTTTTTAATTAAATCTTTTACTCATCTAATCATCAAAGCAAGTTTTGAATTTAAAATATTGCAATGAATTAGCTATATTTATGAATAATAATGCTCATATTAGTTTCAATAATCAGCATGATATATTATGCTCTTTTCTTATACTTTTTAACTTTATATTAGAATTATTTATCCTACTAAACATTTTGTTCATGAGATATTATAATAACTATCATTTTCTATCAAGGGAAAAGAGTAGAGACAATTCACATCTCTATCAAAACATGCTTCTCATAATATCTATACCCAAGAGAAAAATTGCTACAAAAGTTTGAGAGATATCAAAGATTAGATGAGATAACCTTTAGCACTTTCTGATATAAATAAATTTTGAATTTTAGTATAAAATTCCATAAAGGTTGAGAATAATTTGATTTAAATTTTGTTTGGGATAATTTTCATAGTGCTTTCTAAAACTATTTTCAGTACAATTTTTTTAAAAGAATTATATTAAAAAGATGCTTTAAAAAGTAATAAAAAAAAATGGTCCCAAGTGAAACCTTATTCATAGTAGAATTGAGAGTAGTGGTTGGGTAAGAAAAAAAAAAACTTTAAAGAGGATAATTTTAAGAATGGGAAGTTCAAGTTTGACAAAAAAATAGAAATAGAAACAGTCTCAGAAGCTAGGATGTAAGCAGTGTAGAAATAGACATATTATGCAATATTGTGTTAGTTTTGCAAACTATTGCAAATGTGGAGAAGTGGGATTATCTTTGAAGAAAAAATAGCAATCCACAAGTGTTTAAGGATAATCTCAATTCTCAACTAATGAAATTTTAGGATGGTAATAATAAATCTTGTAAAACTCAATTCTATTGAAAGCCATCTATACAATCCAAAGAAGAAACTTTAGAGAACAAAAATAACCAAATAGTGAAGGCAATCATTTTTGTCACCACAACTAATGAGGCCAAGGAAAAAATGTAGTTATATATTCATTTTTTATGTCCAATTAAAATGTTATAATTTTATTTGATTCTACTACTTCACATAATTTTTTATTTGATTTAAAAATTAGGATATCATAGAGTAAGAGTTAAATAAAGTAAACATAATAAGGATAGCTTTCACAATCAAGTATGATCATTTTGAATTTTTAGTGATGCCATTTAGTTTAATAAAGGCTCATACAATTTCTTTTAGATTTGATGAATCAAATTTTTATAATTGATTTGATATTAATATATCATCAAGTAAGAGTTAAGATAGTAGATAAAATAAAGATAGCTTTTGTAATCAAATATAGTCATTTTGCATTTTTAGTAATGCATTTGGTCCAACTCTATGGAGTAAACTATCGACACATAATGCAAGCTTAACATTTTGTTGTTTGGCTAAAAAATATAGATTTGTATGGTCCAATTGCTTTAATGCCTTAGAATTAAAATCATAACTCATGATTTCAAAATTCTTTTGTGATGTCATCTCATATGACCAACAAGTTCATTGATACGTAAAGTCTTCGAAAATGTGATGTGATGAATGAATAAAATAATCTACTAAATGTGACTTTCTTCTACTTCTACTAATTTATACTTTTTGGTTTGAATCGAGGTGCATTACAATTCCAGAATATAATTTTTGACATCATACTTGTAATATAATGTACAATAATTATAATACTAGTTTATTTTTTATACACTCAAATTTCATTTGCTCTTACCAAAAAGGAAAATGTCTATGTCATGCATAAATTATGGAAATATAATTAAGCATCCTATAAAAAAGCCCTATCAAACAAACTATCAATACCTTTCCAGTTGTAGGGGCCAAAGAGAAAAATTGGTATTATTCTAATTTAATCAATAGGCTCATTTAATTTTATTCTAATAATTGCTATTATTTACACCACATGTCATTTGGATGTTGCCATAAATTAATTTGGTAATTAATCAAATTGAAAAGCATTAATCCATTTTTCACCAATGTTCTATTTGAGTTTCTATTTATTTTCCTTCATGATGTTCACTTTGTAATGTTTTTTTTTTTTCCCAAAAGATAATAAAAGGATAATACAACTAAGGCCCAAAATAGACAAACCCAAAATACATCAGTAAAAAGAAAAGGAAAACAATCTCCAAAGAATGGACAACCAAAGACGAAGGCAAAGAAACCAACCAACTGGACTCAGTAAAAGACAAGAGGCTCCCTGAACCACCCCGTAGCAAGGCAAGGACCATCCAAACACGGTAGCAACCCATAAACCACAAACCACACAAACAACCACAGATCACAAGAGTAAAACCACCAAGGTTGTCAATAAGCCAAAGCCAAGATGGTGATGAACAGGGAGCCTCTATGATCTATTACATGTAGCTACTGTGTTGCAATATATAAATAACTTAAAATTTCTATAAAGGCATATAAATATCCATGTATTTAGCATTTAGTTATGTACAATACCACTAAGCAAGGCCTGAACGAAATGAAGAGAGAGAGAGAGAGAGAGAGAGGTGCCTAAATGAAAAAGTACAACATAATAATATAAATATAATTGAACATTAAGTCGCATGAAACATTGGCGGCTAATTATTTTACAGAACTTGTTTAAGAGCAGAGCATAATTGTCCTTCTCAACGCTTGAGTTGTAGAAATTCATTCCAGGAAAAAAAAAAGGTCACAGGATGAGAAATTTACTTATTTTTTATAAGATTTCTTCATTCTTTGATAGCTTCTTCCTTTACATCAGATAAATAGTCTTGCCTGAAAAGTTCAAGATGAAGGAACCGTAAAATCAGTACTATGAAAGAAGGAAATTTAGACTTTGTTTGGGACAGCTTTCTTATTACTTTCAAAAATAATTTTTTAGTACAGAAAATTTTTGTATTAAAAAATTGCATTAAAAAATAGTAAAAAAATTATCACAAACGAGATCTTAATTAATTAAGTACATTGGAATCAGATATGTTTACAGTAATAGATAGGTAATGAAGCAATTGATCTTTATTTTTTAAGCAACGATTGATCATGACATGTGAAATTGCATGAATTTACTAGTTTATTTTCTTTAGATAGGATGATAGATATGTAAATAAAAATGATTTGGGTAATATGGTTGCTATCCCTTAAAAATATGAAAAAACTCAGAAGGGTGGTAAGATACTTGCGAGTCTTAGAATCACGATCATTGTAGTGGCAGGGAAAGGTGAAGTTACCTCAAGAAAAATAATTATATACTTCATTCTACAAGAAAAATAATTTTGGGCTACACAATGGGATCCAACAACTGAGGTCCTTAGCAAATGGGCAGATGGATTATACTTAATATTATCTTAACTTGAGGAATCATAAAGAAGTACAAGCTTAATAAAAGGAAAGTGAAATAGAGGGCTCCTAGGTCACAATATTTAAGAGTGGTAAGCTAATACCTACCAAGCCACACTGATTTGGCCATCAACATGTTTATCATCATTAGCTAATTTACTCCAACTATTTATGGTTGGTTTAATATATCCTCTTTCTTTCTTAAATATTGAGTTCTACACATGGGTTTAACTTATTTTAGGAAGTACTTGAAGATTTCAAATAAACCTTAACAATAAAAGAAAAAACGGCGAGAAAACTCTACAAATTCAATGAAAAACCAAAAAATAAACAATAGTTTTATTGCAAGATTCAAACTAACGGAAGAAAAATAGCAATATACAATTGATCCTCAATTCGAGAGGGGGATCTATCTCTCCCAATTCCTAGACGCCGCTAGAGCCCAAGACACCGAACTCCAAGAACAAGAACAACCCAAATAATTTGCATACCCCTAACCCTAATCTTATCTTCCTATTTAAAGTAAACAATTAAAAATAATAATAAATAAATATATAAATAAATAATTAAACAACAAATACCTAAACAGCCCCCCTCTAATTCCCTCATATTTCCTTAATTATTTCCCTCCCAAATCAACCCTCAAATCATCCCATAAATTTGTCCTCTTTAATTAGGAAATATTTCCTAATTAATCCCCCCAAAAAAATCAGCACCCAAATCATCCCCTAAGTATGTCATCTTCAAATAGGAAATATTTTCTAATTAATTCCTTTTGATTAAGAACATTCCTAAACAACTTCCTCTTGATTAGAAAATTTCCTAATTCCCTTCCAATCAAATTTGGCAGGTCTATCATTTTATTTTGCACAAGTCTTTCTGCATAATTTTCTGCAACGATATCTTTAGCATCACTTTCACATTAATTCTATGACTATTTAGCTATCTTACTAGCGTAACCTCATCCCATTTGTTATGATTTATTTTCTTAATTCTTGTCATCTATGATGTGCTTTATATATGTACACTGTCACAAAGTAGATTAGTACATTCATAAAAACGACCTGGGATGCGCCCAATGGACTAGTGGACTGAAAGCAGCAATGCCTAGATGGTAGGTATAATGCTCCATTTTATCGACACATTGCATCAACATTAGATGAACACAAACAAAAATAAAATATAACATAATTTTCTGTGTTTCTCATTGATGTTTCCCTCTTACCGATTAATTAGTACATTCGGTATTGCTTGATAGCATGGCCTCTATTTACTAGTGCATTATACATCTATGTTCAAGCACTTGGTGAATGCTTATTTCAAGGAAATTTTTTCACAGGAGTTGGAAGTGTTGATAATTAGAAATTTTCTTCTCATTGATATGGTGTGATATTTATCCATTCATTCTAGTGGGATAAATCCATAAAAGCTTGATGTTATTATTGTTGTTAACCATTCATTCAAGGTAGAGACCACAAATCTTCCAATCTCTATAGGTATTTTATTCATTCTATCGGACCACATGTAATAATTCTTCGTTTTCCTATCTTGAGTCAGACTCTCTTTCCCTTGCTTTAAATTAAATATAACTAATATAATATAATCCATCATTTTTATGGCAGAAGAAAATTAGACTATTTGTCTACAGCAATATTTTAACAAAGTAGAGTTCTTTTTCTCCAAGCATTTACACCCTTTTAGGCTCAAATGGTGAAAATGGAAAACTTAGAAGGTACTCCTGCACCTTGTAGAGGTTGGGAAAGAAAGGAGAAAGGCAAGGGATATATGTCAATATTCGCTTTTGGCTATACTGGTTCAGCAATATAAATGCCAACCCTTGATAGTTTGGAAAAGCTATTATGATGATGGTTTAGCAAATTAGCGCTAAAAATGCACATGCCAAAGGAGGAAAAAAAGTTTACTACCTAAATCAATATTATTTTTATTTCAGACTAATTAAAGCAATTTTAGTTGGATAGAATTGCTGTAGGGGGATTCCTTTTAGGATTTTTCTACGAGTAATGTCAGCATGTATCATTTTGTTAGGAGATTTTTGCATTTGTAGAAACAAATAAATATGTATCAAAGACTGGGATTTGTCATAGTAGGAAAATTTATTCGAGAACACGTCACTATATTTGGTAGACTAGTTCCTGCAAATTAAGAAATCTCAACAATAAGAACATCCACGTGTCATTTCAATGTTTACAGGAAAAAAAGACTCACCTTTGGTAGAAACGTCTTCCAGCAAATTCATAATTTTGATACAAAAAGAACTCTAAACTATCATTTTTTTAGGATTTCCAAATAAAATTCGAAATTCTATTCATTTTAGTCTCAAATGTTTTAGCTCTATTTGTTTGTGCTTTTTAAATGTTTTTTTTGGGAAAAGCACAAGTGTACATCGTCAGAGATTTCGACACGTGTGGGTTATGATTTTTTATTATATGTATGGGTTATGATTTTCGCTTTATGGAAAGTAAAGGTGATGAGGACATCGTCAGAGATTTCGACACGTGTACCATCAGAGACACCGTAGATCGACGGCCACGATCATGAGCTTATATTTTGAGTCATTTTATATAGTAGTTTATTTTATTGTTCAATTTTTACTATTTTACCCTTATGGGTGGTCATTTGATATTATAGCCTCGAGGGCATTTATGTCTTTTAGTTTTTTGTTTCATTTTGGCCTTTTATAGCAGGCCTCATGCATTGTACTAGATGATGAATTATTGAATGAAAAAAAGTTTGTGCTTGTTTGATCTCTTAGTGAGTTCATGAGAGGAGAAGCCCGAGGAGGCTGATTTGCAATACCCGTAAATCTTTGGAAGAGTCCAAGATTCACGGTTCTTATGATCTCTTTGTGAGTTCGTTATTTTACTTTTATCTTATTTGTTTTTCTTTCATCCTTTTCTCCTCCACTCCATCCACCACCCCTTCCAACCTCCCCACTACCAATGGCTCAACCTCCTCCACTCAATTCATCTTCTAGCTCCACCGCCTAAATCCCACCCACCTACCTAGCTACAACCCACCACCTAGCCGCCCCCTTTCCCCTTTGCCGCCGCCCCCCTCATAATTTCCCCCTCATTATGATGATTTCAATCACCATAATGACTTCCTAATTTAGATCAAGCATGAGAGGTCAAATTAATTTCTCTCCAATTCCACTTAACTTGAATCTAATTTCAGATTTCTAATCCTCACACTAAGCCCCACCTAGCCCAAACCGCCCCTCCCCTTCTCCAAACCTTGGCCGCCCCCTCTCTCTTGCATTCCCTCTCTTGGTAAACCCTAGTTGGTTCATGATACTCGACGCCAAGAGAAGAAGACGACAACCTCTCCTCCCATCCTCGTCGTTGATGCATGACCGATCCTGAAGTCAACCATGGTTCCTTAATTGATGATCAAGGACGAACCAACATCTTTGCATCTTCGTTCTTCAATGTGAACCATGACGTGGACTCTTCTGTGGAGGATTAATTGAAGCGCATCCTTTTACGTTAGTACCTTCCATCAAGGAGCATATTCCTCCCGGACGTTGGATACTCACTAGTCATCCCGTGGATTCCCCCGCCGCCAGCTACTTCTCCCACGGACTATACCTTGGGCACCATTTGTCTACTAGTGGCGTTGCTCGATTTGCTCTCAATCTTTCTCCGTTAAAGCCCTACCATCAAGAGCGTGAGTGAGAGACCCAAGATAAAGAGTTCTATTTGTTAACCGTGGATTATTGTTTCTCACCATAACATTACTCTCTATTTATATTGTTGTTAATTTGATATTGTCGCGTTAATTTAATTATAACTGCAAGCCTTGCTTAGTCTCTAATTGATAACTCCGAGAACCTAACTTGGGTAAATACTAAATTTATAATTAGCAGAGTTTTAATAATCTTATATTATAATCCCCAAGCAGTTCTTGTTTCTTTGCATATGTTTCACATCAAAAGGTCTAAAAAGCAGTCTCATAGCAGAAAATTTTCTATTGTAGCAGAAGCTTTTATCACAAGCAGCAGCACAAACAAATAGAGCCTTAGATGATTAGAGGGTCAAGACTAGCTGAAGAAAGACCCTTTGAAACATCAGTTCAGTAGATACGAAAATGATAATTTTACCTAAACAACGTCTATCAAATCAACTTTTATGTAAGTAATGTCTAAACTGTAATAAGACTGGTTATACTGTATGGAGAAGACTTCTTGAGAGATGAGGCTGATGATAGCCAAGTTGATGTGTGACAGAATATTATAGTAGATGTTTGGTAAAACTAGGAAGATGAGTAAAAAATCATTATAACAAAGGAACGGTGGGGGTAAAAGTACTGAAGATAAATTAATGGAACAGAAATTTAGATGTTTGGGCAATATGTTTGTCAAACTCATACGAAGTATTAAAGGTCAAATTTTTGGATTTTTTTTTGCTAATGCACTCCTC